TTATAATAGTGTATTTTGCCAGTTATCAATTTTGTCTCTCAGCTCCAAATCTGCCTGCTATGCCATACTGGAGCTGGACCCTGTCAAAATTTCTCCTTTGCCACCTGATCTAATGTTAGGCCTAATGTTATCAAAAGAGGGTACTGGAGTGACTCTACAAGATGAGAGTAGCAGGAAGGCATTTCCCTTCTGGGTCCAGTCCCCTTTCAATTTTTTTATTCAGCACACAGCCAAGGCCCAGTAGCCCTCTTGGACAACCTTAAACCACATTCTCAAAGTGACCATGAAGTCACTTTTGAGGCATCTCAGGCTATTATCCTCAAGCCACACTCTCCCCATCCAACAATGCACTTCTATAAAGAACTTCAGCTGGCCTCAAGCAACTGCCTTCCCACCCTGTGGCTACTTCTGCGTTAGCTCTGCCATGCTCTCAGGCAATTGCCTCCTCCCCACCAGTCAGACTGTTTCTAACAGATCAGCTCTACATTACCAACACCGTCCTGCAACAGTGAGCTGATATTACAGATCTGCTCTGGCCTAACCAGATGGCAAGGTTCTTCACCACCAGAGCACTGTATGTTTTGTGGCAGCCACATCTTATTTGAAGAAGTCTAATCTCAGCCTAGGTTTGGGGCTCTCCTAAGTCTTTAGTTCCTTCATTGTCTACTTTCTCTTGGTCCAGATCTACTTTTTTGTACTTACTAATTAATTATGAATACCATGGAGTCCTCTTCTACCTCTTTTAGTAGTTAATAACATTTTACTAGTTAACAATTCTTTATATTAATTCTCCCTGCTTAAATGAGGGGTACGGTTTCTATCTCCTAACTGGACCCTGACTGATATATACATGGTTTATACATACATAGATCTATCTCTCTCACAACACTCACACACATGTAAAACACAGGACAGTAGCACAAAGGATAGGAGCGATGAACTGAAAGTATTGATCTAAGGTTCTTATATTAAATGTGAAGTAGTATATTATGTGAAGGTAGATAATAATAGGTTAAAGAAACATAATATAAACCTTTCAACATTGAAATGAAATAGTTAATAAATCAATAATGGTAGTAAAATTTAATCCTAAATAACACAAAAATAATTTAAAAGAAGAAAAGTAAAGAGGGAAAAAATAACAAAGAACAACTGGGACAAACAGAGACAAATTGTTAAGTTGGTGAACTTAAATTCAATCGTATCAGTAATCATATTAAACATAAACAGTCTAAACACTCCAGTTAAATGAGCCAGATTGTTAGACTGGTCAAAATCAAAGAACCAACTAATGTTGACCTCAAAAAACCCACTTGAGTTATAAAGGCAGAAACAGATTAAAATAAAAGAATGCAAGTTCTAATTCCAGTACTGCAGAATAAACTCCTGCTGGACCAATCCTCTGGCAACTAAAACACTGAACAACACACACAGACAAAATGAACCTAAGGCACTGCAAGAGTAAACAAAAAAGCCAATTCTGAAGGAGAGTCAAAACTTATAAGAAAGAACAGCACTGGGTGAGTCTGGGTTTCATTTAAAAAAAAAAAAGCATTTAGTCTAAGGAAGGATACAGTTATCACAAAAAATGGCTAAAATTCCAACAGAAAACTGCAGTGTTGCTAGCCTAAAGGAGGACAGAGTTCAGGGCAGCCATGGCCCCTGACAAATAAAGGGAGAATACCAGAAAAAAAAATAAAAGCCAGGGAGGGGAAACCCCAAATCCTATGTATAAACTTTGCCTAAATCAGTGGCTGACTGCAAGACCATTTACATGTGGAAGAAACTACAACTAAAGATAAAAGAACCAGACTGAGATTTCAGCTGCCTTCCAAGAGGCTGTTTACTGCTTGAGTCGAACCAGGTAAATTAATCACTGAAATATTGGGCTGGCCGGAAAGTTCGTTCGGGTTTTCCCATAAGGTGTTATGGAAAAACCTGAACGAACTTTCCGGCCAGCCCAATAAAAACATCAACACTCTTTGATGAAATATAACAGATTCCAGTCTCCAAAACATACATCCTCATTTGTCAGAATATAATCTAAAATTACTCAATATATGAAAACCCAGAAACATGTTAACAACAACAATGGATAGCAACCTCAAGAAAAGATAGCAACCTCAGGAGACAGTCAAATACTTTTAAAGGGCTCAAAGAAATAAAAACCATCAAGTTAGAATTCAACAGCCATTGTATAGATAATTCAGTGTGGAGTCTTATGGTGCAGTCTTCTTCATCTTCATGATTGTTTCACCTTTTTGCCTGAAGCCCCCAAGAATTTTTCCTTTAGCTTTAAAGTCTGAAAAAACCTTTGAAAAAATTTCACACCCATTACTAACAAAAAAATCTTGAGAAAATAGGAATTAATAGTGTGGTAAGTAGCCCCTAGGATGGTCCCCAATGATCTCTGCTACTTGGCACTAGGACCTTGTGTAATAGCCTCCCCTTGAGTGTTCATTAGATCTAGTGGCTCCCTTCTAAAGGACAGATATAGTAAGAGTGACAGGATGCCACTTCCACGATTAGGTCAGAAGGAGACTATGGCTCCTGTCTTGTATACCCTCTCTTGCTCTTCTGCTTGCTCACTCTGATGGAAATCAGCTGCCATGTTGTGAGCAACATAACAGAGGCTAAGTGGCAAGGAACTAAAGGAGTTTTCTGGCCAACAGCCAGCTAGGAACTGAGGCCCTCAGTCCAATGAACTGCAAGAAATTGGTTGAATCCTGCCAACAACCACATGAGTGAACACAGAAGAGGATCTTTCTTCAGTTGAGCTTTCAGGTAAGTTAGCAGCCCTGGGCAACAATCTTGATTAGAGACTTGAAAGAGACACTGAAGCAAAGGCACCCAGCTAAGCCAAGCCCAGATTCTGGACCTTCAGAAAATATCAGAAAATAAGTGTTTATTCTTTTAAGCACCCCTACATTTTAAGCAAGTACATTCTGTGTAATCTGTTAAGCAGCAATAGATTAATAACACAGATGGATATTTACTGAACACAAAAGAATTGTGTTAACTGTAAAGCCAGCATCTTTCTTACTGGGGAAAACCTGGAGGTATTCCCACTAAGGTCAGAAAGATGACAAGGATGCCCACTACCTCAAGTACAATTTCCCACTGCTCTGGAGAGGGACTACCCAATGCAATCAGAATAGAGAAGATAATTAAAGATTTGGAAAAGAAGAAATAACACTGTCTGTATTTTCAGACATGAGAGTATACCTGGAAAACTCTGGAGAATCAATGATAAAACTAACTCAAACAGTAAAAGATTTCAGGAAGGAGCAAGATATAAAGTTAACATACAAAAACCGATAGTGCTCCTATATACAAAAAATAGCCAGTTAGAAGATATAACAGATAAGAAAAATCATTTACACAGCAAAAAAATTAAATATTTAGGAACAAACTATTAGAAATGTTCAAAATCTATATGAAGAAAAATATAAAGCACCTATTAAGGACAGAAAAGTAGACCTAAAAGTGCTAAGTCATCCTTGTTCTTGGAAATATACACTGAAGTATTTAAGGGTAAAGAACCATGATGTATGTAACTTTTTCTGAAAAGCTTCAGAAAAAAAATTAATACATATATAATATGTATAAAGAGAATGAAAGCAAAAACTTGATAAAGCAAATGGGGTAGAACATCACCAAAGATGTTTAAACTGAACCTAATCCAGAGGAAACAATCAGACAAATCCAGACATCTACTTCAAAAAGATATTTTTGGGGGAAAATTGGGATGATTTAAATACGAACTATATATTAGATATTATTGAATTAATATTACTTTTCTTAGGCCTAAAAATAATACAATTATGTGCAAAAATGTCTTTATTCTTAGTAGATACATACTAATGTATTTAGGGGTAAAGTATCATAATGTGTGTGACAGAGGGAGAGAAGGAAGGCGGAGGGAGAGAGCGAGAGTAAAGAGAGGGTAGGAAAGGCAAAGAGAGAAAGGAAATGTGGCAAAATGTTAACTGGTTAAATTTAGGTGAAGACTGAACAGTTGATCCTTGAACAACACGGGTATGAACTACACAAGTCCATTTATACTCTGATCTTTTTTTTCAACAAGTACCTACTACAGTTCTACACCATCTGAGGTTGGGTGACTCCACAGATGTGAAACTGTGGATATGGAGGGCTGACTATCAAGTTATACTTGGATTTTCAACTATAAGGGAGTGGCACCTCTAACCCCCATGTTGTTCAAGGATCGATTGTATGGATGCTCATTGTACTATGCTTTCAACTTTTTTGTTGGTTTGAAATTTTTTTAAATAAAAGGATGGATAAAAAAGAAAACGACAGAGACTCCCAGCTTATAGAAGAAGGTGTAAAGTTAGATTTCCCTACTTTACTTCCTGAAAATCATACCAAATAATAAAAGGAACAAGGAAAGGTGATGCAAATTCCTCCTTCAACGGAATTAGACAGGTAGAAAGAAAGGGAAATACAAGATATTGAAATTTCTTATCTTCCTTAGTGAACAGATACTTGAAGTTGATGTACTAAAAAACAAAGGTGAAAACATTATTTAGTATTATGGAGGTAAATCATCAACAGAACTAAAACAAATGTAGGATGTAAGGAAGGGGGCTTTTACTCTATATTTTAAATCTTTTATACCATCAGACTGTTTATATCAGTATCACGTGTAGTAGTAGTAACAATAATAATAATAAATATTCCCAATTACATGGACTATCCAGAAGGATTCTGTGACAAAGATGCTGCCCCCAGAAAAAATGTATCTTTCATCACCTTCACTACCCTGAATAAGATATTTAAAACACAAATTTAAATGGTAAAATACTTTAAAATATTATTGGGTTTAGCAGAACCACAGGTCTACCTACATGAGCACCATGATCATAATACCAAAAAATAATAAGTTAATACATTAAAATTGTATTCCCCATTATTTCAAATAACTTAAAATTATGTTCATTCTTGTCTTTTAAAAAAATTTGAATAAGCAGACTCACAGTTCCACAAGGTTTGGAAGCTTCTGAGCAAGGTTTTCTGGCTGAAAATTAAAAACTCAGAATTAAATTTTATTTTTGAAAAATGTATAAACATTTCTAAATAGCTTAAACACAAAGTACTATCTTTTGAAGGGCTGTAAATTTTCAGAAAATGTGAAAATAAATCAGCAGGTCTGGGTTTATACTTACATAGACCATACTACAATTTAAATTTATACATCTGAACAGAAACCAGATCTCATACTCCACAATCATGGAAGAAATGAAAATGTTTTTAACAGACACAGACAGAGGGAATAACACTATGTGACGCTGGAGCCAGAGATTGGAGTGATGCAGCTGCAAAGTCAAGGAACACCGCTGGCAACCTCCAGAAGCTCAGAGAAAGGAACAGATTCTTCCTCAGAGCCGCAAGAAGAAACCAACCCAGCCAACACCTTGATTTTGAACTTCTGCCCTCCAGAACTGTGAGACAATCAATTTCTGTTATTTTAAGTCACATAGCCTGTGTAATTTGTTACAGCAGCCCTAAGAAAATAACACCCCTCCGCCAAACCAAAATCCCAAACTGCCCCTCAGGAGAAAGAAACTAAAATCCCAGGGGGCCGACATCAAGACCTAACCAAACTCAGGATAAAAAGAGTAAGCTGGAGCTCAGGTGGTCTCATCTGGCCCAAGTTCTAAGTTCGGAGTAGGAGTGTGATGTGGCAGGGATAGGAAACTGGCCATTGGGAGGAGAGGAAGGGAGATAGGTCTAGGTCTCTTACACAGAGTCACAGCTCTGGAAGGACTGGCTAGTCCATGAAAAGAATCCTAGAAAAATTCCACTCGTAGACTGAAAGCAGACTTCTCTCTGCTGGAGGCCCTGGGTAGAAGGAAAAGCCTCCTGTAAGTAACTGAAAGTCAGCCTGCATCTCTCACACATGCACATGCACACAGATACACATAAACACAAAGACAGGAGTTGTTAAAGCTAAAGGAGCACACTGAGTTAGGAGTAATTTTTTTTTATTCTACACACTGTAGAGTTAAGCTAAATATCAGTAACAAAGAATCAGGAATGACATTTTAAAAGAAATTATGTCTAACCTGAGGCTTGAAAGACAAATATAAATTATCAGAGGTTGCCATGGAACGGGGAGGAGGAAAGTTCTGGTTAGCTTTGTAGGCACATGAAGCAACATATGAAAAGACAAAAAGAGAGAGAGGTATGTTTGGGAAATCAAAAATATATTTTTTCTGCTGTAACTCCCCAACAGTACTCATGACAAAAATCTTATATTTTCAAACACCTGTAATAAAAACAATTGTGTCAATAGAAAAACAAAAGTTTGGGGGACTATAAAGTTGTAGATTTGTAACAAATAATTTTTCTGACAGAAACTTATGAACAGTGATTATCATTAGGAAAAGGACCAGTGTTGCTATTCTCCATCTACTTTTTTATCACCTGAATCTTTAACAATGAGCATGTATGTCTTTTAAATTAAAAAAAATTAAAATTAAATTTTAAAATGTAGTATTTAAATTGCTACATAATTGAGTAACCAATCATATGATATGCAATTTAGGTTCTAAACACTCAATAAGAGAAATGCCATTAGTTTGGTATTTCTGGGCCATCGGGTGTGAAGGTATATGATTTTGCAGAGAGTACCAAGGAACAGATCACTAAGGGCTTATATTTTATATTGAGGAAAAACTATTTTTAAACATCTTGAACACAATGGAAATCCACTAGTTTACTTTAATCAAGGAAATAAAACTATTAATTTCATACAGTTATATTGATGTATTTAAATACTTAGCAACAGTATCCCAAGCTACTTACATATATAATATCTTCACCCTTTTACAATAAAATAGCACTGAATATGAATACTGTTTATGAAGTCAGTGAAACATTTATTGAGTTCCCACTTTTGATAAAACCACATTTTGTTTTCAAATGCTGAATGCTGTGATTCCCTTTCCCCCATGTTTTGACATCAATATCTGCAATGAGGTCCTTCATGAATGGTCTTTCCTTGAATGTTGCTCTTGGATCTGTCCAAGTCCCCAAAATGTTTCTTCTAGTACTGGTATCTCGCCTAGTAAGAGGAATATACACTTCCACTTATGGGCATACTTACAAAGCATCCCAGGCAAACTAAAGCACTCTGTGGGTGGTGGAGGGGAGGTAAGAGGCTTAATAGTTGTTCCTCTAAAAAGGAAAGGCTTGTCCAGAAAAGAAGTGGTATTAGACCCTCATCTAGTTTGATCTGCTACAATATCAGTATCATATCTGGCTAACTAAAGGACCCCTGTTCATTCTTTCCAGATGCCTACTTGTCTCCATCAGACAGTATCGCAATTTTTCCATGACAAACTAGTTACCTCTTTGAGTTATTTAGCTACACACACAATTAAGCACTGAATAATGTTCCTGCTGCCATTAGTGCATCACTATGTCTTTATTAGTAAGTACCCTGTGTTTTAATTTAAAAATAAGCACACCAACCTTGAGAAAATTGCAGTTCATCAGAATACTGGGTTTTAAAAAACCCCAAAAGCCTGGTAAATAATCAGCCTGCTGCAAAGGCTGTGGCTGACACCTACTGGTGTTCTATAATACATTCTCTGCTTTCTAGTGGCATATTTTAGCAATGTAACTGAATAATATAAGAGAAATATTATACATTTTAATTTTTCTATTTCTATAGTTTATGAAAAGTGGGTAAGAGACTGGACAACTATATGTTAACATCAACATTTTTGTTACTCTGCGGGTAACTAAGCTCTAATGCTGGATTACAGATGCCACACAAACTAGTTTATCTGATCTATAGGATTTAGTCTATTAAGTTTTAAAATGTTTTTAAATTTTAAAATCCTGATAGACAAAAGTAATAACCTTAGGGCTTCCCTGGTGGCGCAGTGGTTGAGAGTCAGCCTGCCAATGCAGGGGACAGGGGTTCATGACCGGGTCCGGGAAGATCCCACATGCTGCAGAGCGGCTGGGCCCGTGAGCCATGGCCGCTGAGCCTGCGGAGCCTGTGCTCCGCAACGGGAGAGGCCACAACAGTGAGAGGCCTGCGTACCGCAAAAAAAAAAAAAAAGTAATAACCTTAGGGCTTCCCTGGCGGCGCAGTGGTTGAGAGTCAGCCTGCCAATGCAGGGGACAGGGGTTCATGACCGGGTCCGGGAAGATCCCACATGCTGCAGAGCGGCTGGGCCCGTGAGCCATGGCCGCTGAGCCTGCGGAGCCTGTGCTCCGCAACGGGAGAGGCCACAACAGTGAGAGGCCTGCGTACCGCAAAAAAAAAAAAAAAGTAATAACCTTAGGGCTTCCCTGGCGGCGCAGTGGTTGAGAGTCAGCCTGCCAATGCAGGGGACAGGGGTTCATGACCGGGTCCGGGAAGATCCCACATGCTGCAGAGCGGCTGGGCCCGTGAGCCATGGCCGCTGAGCCTGCGGAGCCTGTGCTCCGCAACGGGAGAGGCCACAACAGTGAGAGGCCTGCGTACCGCAAAAAAAAAAAAAAAAAAAAAAAAAAGTAATAACCTTAAAGTGTCTTGCAAAACTGTTATTACTAATATTTCCTTCTTTTTCACAATTTTGACATACAAAAGTTTTAATAAACAACCTGTATCCAAATTCCTTGAGTATGAATACTTCCTACTAAACTACTTAAAAATTGTTTTATAAATTAAGCCAAAATTCTATCCATTAAATCTCATACTTTCACTTAACTGAACAATTTTTTCTTTACAAATAATGTAAAGGTAAACTTCAGCAAGCACAGTTAGTATAAAATTTACCTCAAATTTTGAATCAATGATGCTTTACTTTATGTCCTTTTATGGAGAACTTTCAACCCCCTTAAATGGGAATGTTTTAAAATTGTGTATCTTGGAACAAATATTCCAAATATGTTGCAAACACATGTTCAATACTGTTCTCTTGTAGTGACTGTGCACTGCTTACTTTCTTTTCTTCTCCTTCTGGGCAGCTGGTAGGATTACACTTCTCTCTTCAAGCTCGACGTGGCTAAGTGACTTGCTTCGGTCAATGGAATTATGTCAAAGTAGAGGCCTTAGAGAGCTTGAGCACGAAAGGTCCACAGTGACCTTTATCAGCTTTCATCCCTGAGTAAAGATACCATGAATCAAAGTCCCCCAGAGATCTGAGAGAGTAGTGCAGCATGAATGAGAAATTATTTTGCTGTTACAAACCACTAGGATTCAGGGTTCTGCAAAATCTGCTCCATCCAGCCTCTAACAACACATTTCAAAGAAGTCATGAATTAAGTGCATAGTTTTTACAGCAGTTATAAAAAGTAGAATAAAGTCAGACTTCTACTCACACCATATACAAAAGTTAACTAAAAATTAACTAAAAACGGATCAATGACTTATATCTAAGAGCTAAAACCATAAAACTCATAGAAGAAAACATGGGTAAATCTTCACGATCATGGATGTGGCGATGGATTCACAGATATGAAACCAAAAGCAGGAGCAACAATAGAAAAAATGGATAAACTGGACTTCATCAAAATTTAAAATTTTTGTGCATAAAAGGACATTTCAAGAAAGTGAAAAGGCAACATATAGGAGAAAATATCTGCAAATCATATATCCAATAGGGGTCTAGCATTTAGAATATATAAAGAACACTTACAACTCAACCACAAAAAACAAACAACCCAATTGAAAACAGGCAAAGGATTTGAAAAGAAATTCTTTAAAGAAGATATGCAAATGGTCAAAAAGCACATGAAAAGACACCCAAATTCACTAGCATTAGGGAAATGCAAATCAAAACCACAATGAGGTACCACTTCAAAACCACTAGGATAGCCATACTTTGTTAAAAATGTAAAATAACAACTATTGACAAGGATGTGGAGAAACTGGAACCCTTGTACATTGCTGGCAGTAATGTAAAATGGTTCAGCCACCGTAGAAAACAGTTTGGCTGTTCCTCAAAAAGTTAAACATAGAATTGCCATAAGACTCCATAATTCTACTCCTATACATATACCCAAAATAATTAAAAA